TATATATTCAAGTTGAAGTTTTATTGTACATGTTTATTATCTTCATGATGTTTTATATATTGTTTTATATATTTATTAGGCTTATAAGATATTTAATAAATTGTAAAATTAATTATAATATACGAAAGCAAACCTAAATATGGCTGAGGTCTACAATCTTGGATCGCCAGTGGCTACCGTATTGCCAGAGGGAGAGTGGCTCTGGTTGTAGGAGGCGATAAGAGGAAGATATCCCTTTAAATCCCATGTTGGAAAGACTGAAAACAAGGCCATAAATATGGTATGGCCACATTAATAGTCCTATCATCTACCTTCCCCTATGATATTCCTGCCTGCTTGTAGCAAAAACACCTAATCACATCATGGCATCAAAATATATATATATATATGTATGTATATGTGTGAATGTTCATGTCAGCTTATTCTTATCACAACTAATTTTATAGCTCACTGAATATCTTGTAAACTCAATAAATATATAAGATATCGCAGGGATGATAAACATATATATAAGAATTTAAATCTAGAAGCAGCAAAAAAAAACAAGTCCTTTCCACCACCAAACTAAAACCTTAAATAATATTATTATCTTAAATAATATTATTATTGTTATAAATGATGCTTCTTCTTCTTCTTCTTCTTTTTTCCATTAACTTTCAAAATGAGACCTAAGTAATCGACTACCTTCGGAAACTAGTCCACCCTGATCCTTAAGTTGTCATCTCATCCTTTTCAATGTCTTAAGCCTTCTAATAGAATTCAAAGTTTTGACTGTCAAGCACATGTATGAAACTACGAATTGTTGCAGCATGCAGCTTAATTCTCTTCTTCCTATCTGTTTTCTTTTTCCTCTACACTATTTCCTCTTCTTTTTTTTTTTTTTAAAAAATCTATTTTCTATACGCTTGACTGAATTATTAAAATAAAATCAGTTAAAATATTTTATTTGTAATTTTACAATTTGAAATTTATATTATATAAAGAAATATTTTTGGAGGTTGAAGTTGGTACTTTGTTGTAGCCTTGGTCTTCTTTATCTTAATCCCTTCTAATCATGAGTTTTATTAAAGAAAAAGAATCAGTATGAAATAGGTTTATGCATCAATTATTAATGATTATATATTATTACTCATGGTAGTTTTTACTAAATGTAAATATATTTTTTAATTGTAAATGATTATAAAAAAAATAAATCTAAACCAACCCCGGAAACTATACGGCCTAGCTCAAAACAGAACAGAGCCCACCGAATCCATTGCCTTCCCACAGTAAAGTATGGCAAATTTATACTTGAGATGTTATGAAACACCGAATCCATTGCCTTCCCACAGTAAAGCATGGGCAAATTTATAAATGAGATGTTATGAAAATAATGTTATATATATATATATATATAAAAGTTAAAAATTCCATCTATTTTTTTTTTGAGTTCAATTAATAAAACTAAAACTTGCATATATATATACACACGTTAAAAATTCCATCTATTTTTTTTTTTAGTTCAATTAATAAAACTAAAACCTGCCCAAGGACCTGATATTTTTTTAAAATATTCTATAAAGATTAACTCAAATTTACCTGCAAATAAAATTAGTGATTTATTTTCACGTACCAATCAAACCTAATATATCTGTTGAATTTGACAGTTAGAGACCTCTTTTTTTATCTGAATTTGGGCAGATGATTTGTTAAATGGTTAGAAATGAAGCAACATGTATTTTTTAGTTGAGATACATTGCCAAAAAAATCTGCCCAAGGTCCTGTTCTCCTATCTTCCTATCCTCCACTCCTTCACAGCGAAAGGAGTAAGCAGATAAAAAAAAAAACATGGGAGGAGGAGCCATGCCTATGGACTTAATTCCTATGATTCAATTCAAACCTTCCACTTCTGCCATCCCTTCTTCGGCTTCTACTTCTACAAGTCTTAACTTTCCTGTATCAGTTAGTGAAACTGTTGCATCTCTTGGACAGTCATGTACTGCTTCTTCTTGTTATTGTCAAAGGGGAACTTGTCCAAGAATGTTACAGTGTGTAACACATGGAAATGATCATGACACAAGGACGAATGGGGTGTCTCCATATAAAGTTGTTCTAGGCGCTGTGCCATCACAAGTGGAAGTTGAAAGCGCCATAGCTTCCCTTCAAAAGTGAGTGATGTTTCCTCCTTGTTTTCTCTAGAAAGTTTGCATGAATTATTCTGATGAATTGTTATGTTGACAGTTGTTTGGGTGAGGTTTCTTCATCTGGGCAGTTGTTGTTGGACTGTTGTGGTGTTAGAACATTGCTGTCTCTTGGTTATGGAAGAGTTCGTGATGCTTTTAGCTTGCTGCAAACTGATCCATCTATTAAGGTGCCTCTTCTTGTTCTGGTTGTTGCATATTTCATAATTCAGTAACTATGATAGATGCGAAGAATCAAATTTAATTTTACTTTCTACTTGTATCACATTAATTTTCTGAGCTGTCACTTACGGAGTCTAACATGAAAGTAGAGACTGGTGATTTCTCTAGCATCTGATAAGGCTGTCTGGGATGCTGTTATGAGCAATGAGGCAGTGAGGAAGCTGCAAGGGTCTTGCTACTCAGGTTTGTATTCTTAAACTACTGTCATGACATGTATTGGATAGGCATATTAGAAAATAATTTGCATCGATTCTAGGCATGGTTCAAACTGACTCATGAGTTTGTGCTCTCCGTTATCGAGAAATCAATAGGTCTAGCCCTTTGGTTGACAGAAATGGGGTATTTGGTTCTTTCATTGCAACAATTCTAAGCATTAAAATTGTAGTAATGTCATGGGGGGTTGGAAAAAGATTGTTGGATTGACCCGTGGAAGGAGAAGAAAACCTTGTAGTTCAGAAGGAACTGATTTGCATGGTCGAGTGCTAGTTGTCCAGGCTTACATTTGCTTAAAACTTGATAATTAATTTGCCTTCAATTTTTACTATAGTGTTATTAATTTGTGCAGCTGAAGATTGTAGGAAAGAAAGCTGCGAGGAAGAATCGGACATAGCTGCTTGCGTTTTGAGGTGGATCATGGACATCACTAAAGCCAAAATTATTGAACTCCTTGATAAATTCACACTATTAATGAATGAGGTTTTTCAACCAATTGAGAAGGAAAAACCCAGAGAAGAAACCAATCATAATTTGGATGACAAAGTTAGATCATCACTGCTTCTCTCCATTGTGATTCTCTTGATTGTAGTTGTGGCAAGGACTCACGGAGCTTAACTGCCTAGCTAGTTGATGGTTGCCCTAAACTATGAGCTTGTATACCCTTATCTGTTTATATTCATAGATGAAACATTTTTGTTTTATAAATAATCTCAATTGCTTGAAGTCCAAATCTCTTTCTCTTGCAATCAGAATGGAGAATTTTGCACAGAATGGAGGGATCGGATCTTAATGTCTAGCAAGCTGATAAAGATACTTCTGAAGCTATTGTATTCAGGCAAAAAGCAAATCAAACAGATGGCTACAATGGCTCCCAATCGACAGTACAGTTCCAATGCTGAACAGACCAGCAATACAGGACATAAACTCCCATCATGCAATTAGATTTGTATGCTCCATAATTCTGCATCTTCTTTATAAAACAAAGATTAAGGGAAAAATGATCTGATTAAGCCTTCTCAATCATATTTAACTTAACAGGGCAGAAACGAAGCCCTAAGTGGGTGCAGGATGTTCCTTGTTAGGAGAGCGGGAACTGGTGCTTTTACGTGGAGTGGGTGAACGTACAAATCCAGGAGTCTACTTAAACTCTTGTTATCAAGGACAATGTGTGCTTTACAGTCATTAGTAGAGCTTGAAGTCATACAAATATAAATTTATTTTTCTAGGAAAGTATGTGTGTTTTTAGTTACCAGCCAAGGTTCTTTCTGCAGGTCCTGTGATCCTATCAAGTTTTATTTTTATACTTGATAAGTTTGTTCTCTTTTAATGGTGAAATTACCAAGAACAGCATAGAAAACCCATGTCTGATAAGGTAAAAGAAACAGGGAAAAGGAGACCAATTAAGGGATAACAGTTGACTGAGAGCTAGCTTCCATAAAAAGTAAACAATGAAGGGCAACGGACAGCCAAGCCCGTCGAATGCCTCATCCACAACCGTACATGCCTTGCTTATGTTACGGTTAGAGCTTAAAGTAAACTCCTTGCTTATTATAAAATGATTATTGGATTTCATTTTCTAAAAATTTCACTTGAATGGGGAGTTGGAACTAACAGAACCTTCTGTCAAGAAAAGTGGACCTGAAAACAAGCTCATAACCTTAAGGGTTAGCTTAAATTTCTGTAGTTTTCCTAAAAAGAGAACAGCAAGGGATCCAAGAGCTTATATCATCTAAATTAATTCAGAGATCAAGAAAGTTCTGTAAGTGAAATAATTAAATTCTAATCTAAAAACAAGCCCCATAGGAAAATCTGACTTGGTATCTCTCGTTAGAATTCTGATTTAAACACAGGAGGATCACATGTCACATGAAGGAAATTAGACAACTTGTTATGGAAAGGTTGGGTCTCTGGCTAAAACTTCAAAGTTTATCGCTTGTACAAGGAGTGAATAAAATGTTGAGTTATAGTTAGGGATTCTGTAGCCAAGTGGTACAATTTCTGTTTCCAGAGAGGTAGCAGGATTTGACAGATAAAAGAGAGTACTAACTTTTGGAATACTGCAGAGATGATGAACATGCTAGTTGCAGGTATGGACCCTATGGCCATGATGCTAAAAGACCTTGGTATTTGATTGCTACATTTATTCCTTATCCTACTTGGGAAAAGGGAATGTACTGAGAAGTGTGCATTCAATTGTTTAAATTATTTACTGGGTTGTAGGTGCTGAACAAAGAATCCGACAGCACAGCTCCAGTGCTGAACAGACCACAAGTATCAGGAAATCAACTCTCATCATGGAATTACATTTGTACGCGCAATAAAAAATGTTCTTGAGAAGCCTTTTCAACCACATTGAACCCAACAAGGCAGAATTAGAAACCAACTTTGAGAAGAGAATTCCACTCCAGTTTCACATAAGTAGATCAATGAACTTCAAATGGAAAAAAAAAGGATGACAGGCTTAATCCAAAATCATAATAACTGGGGATGGAAATGGTGATAACATGCAACAAGTATATCCTTCCATTAATTAATGAACATGATGCAAAGCTTGCTTGTACACTTTGTATAAAGCAGAAAATTTGAATAGTAACATCATTGTACTTTATTGATCATGCTGGCTTTCACCAACTGCTCAACTAATTTGATTGTAGATTGCAGACTCATTGAATGATTCCTCCAGAATCATATCTCCTAGCTCCAGAGTATCCATTAGCGCACTTGATTTTAAAACTTGTTGTTCACTTTGCAAAATAAAGAAAAGAATGATTCCTCCAGAATCATATCTCCTAGTTCCAGAGTATCTTTCCATTAGCGCACTTGATTTTAAAACTTCTTGTTCACTTTGCAAAATAAAGAAATTAGGATACTAACATTGTTGAACCTGATTGATGTTGAGTTATGGTTAAATGTCTTCTTAAAGTATAACTTACAACCAAAAAAAATTCAACAACCAACTCTGATAAACCAAAATGGAACTACTCAACTGGAGTTGTTAATCTTCATCACTAATCTCAAAAAAACATGTATCTATCTGCTTAGTAATGGATTGGTTCAAAAGGCTAGATATAACACATTCAATTTAAAGTTTGGCACCAAATATGCAGCAGATCAATGGCAATGAACCTTCATGCTCTGGTTGTTTCTAGGAAAAAGATAAAAGCACACCACCAAATAAATCCTTCGAGTAGACCTGTGAAAACAACAGTCAACCACTATAAGTGTTCATATGGCTCCGTGCATGTCTTGTTTATTCATTGTATGAACGTTAAATCCATGGCAATACTGTAGAGAAAAATATATCTGGGGAGAAAAACAGCCAAGGGTGCAAGATCTTACATTGTAGGAGAAACTGAAGCACTTGACCAAATCAGTATCTCTGCATCATAAAAGAAACCCATTTTACCAACTTCACGCCTTAGCTCATGTCACACCATAATCATTACCTCACTTCCTTTGTCAAGCTACTAGAAGCTGATTGAAACATTAAGGCCTACAAGAATTGCATGCGTTTAGACCATGGCTAGTATTCTTGCATAAAATTTCTTCACCAACGTCAGAGTTCACATTTAACAGTATCTTCTCTTTGCCCTCCTAGAAATCTTCTTGCCAATAGGATTGACAAATGCCGGAAAACTAAATGGTACATTGAGACTGAACTGACCTTCGTGATACAGTAACTTTTGAGACCAAGTCTCTTTGATTGAGAAAGTTGACCCTCCTTCAACCCAAATTGAAGAACTCTTCTCTGGTATGGATGAGCATCCATACCAGAGAAGAGTTCTTCAATTTGGGTTGAAGGAAGGTCAAAGTGACTTGGTCTCAAAAGTTACTGTATCACTAAGGTCAATTCAGTCTCAATGTACCATTTAGTTTTCCAGCATTTGTCAATCCCATTGGCAAGAAGATTTCTAAGAGGGAAAAGATTCTGTTAAATGTGAATTCTAGTGCTGGTAAAGATCATGGTTGTGGATGCTCTTGGTAGCCAAAGTAGTACAGTTTCCAGCTTTGTAGCAGAATTTGACAGATAAAGATAGTACCTTTATGATACAGTTTCCAGCCTTGTAGCAGAATTTGACAGATAAAGAGAGTACCTTTACGAGTACTGCATAAAAAGTGAGCAGCGATACACACACACACGCATAGTTCCAAAGGGTGGCAGGGGGGGTCCTTGCGACCACGATGCTGAAATCATGCCACTTAATTGCCACATGCATGCCTCACCTATCTTAAGAAAAAAATAATTGTGCCAAGAAGTTGCAACTTTGCTGGAAAGACTGAAAACTAGTACAAGTACAGTATTCTTTTGAAAAAAATTCTCAAATTTGTTTTTAAAGCTGCGTTTTTTGGGGTTAACAACAAAGAATTCTATTAAATTCAAAACTAGAAGTCACCGTTTTAGAGCCAAGTACACAACAAGAGATTACAAGCACTGGAACAGATATTTCTTAATACACCCAGATCATAATACTAGGACCTTTGTTTCTTTTTCAAGCATATATTTTTAGCTTTCCTTAATATCAAAATAAATGAACAGTAACAAGCTTTCTGCAGAAATGCTGGTCAGCTTGTAATAATCCGGACATCCAGAACTAGAAAAATTGCTTTATGAACTTCTTTTTGGTATTTAATGGAAGAGTTTGCAGTTACATTTCAGAATCCACATGAAGTGGTTTGTCTTCACATGTCCTCCATAGTAACTTGTTGCATATGGAGATGACTTGTGCTTTATAACTTGTTGCATTGCATAGATTTCAGAATTACATCCATATAACCCGTGGGGATTGCATTGCAAGAATAAGGAAAGGATTTTCAGATTTTAACCACTAAAAAGCCTCTGAGGCCCTCCTGCTTTTTGATTTTTTGCAATCTAAAGTCATTACCTAGTTTTCTACGTGGTGTAAAATATTGAGCTCGATAATGATGATATGGCAAAGGTAGAGTAGAGGGACAGAGATTCCGGCCAAATTAAATTCATTTAACACTCAAGCCATGAGCTGAAGTAGATATTCATTTTCTATCAGAGAAAAGCAGACATACTGAGATTGAAGGTTAATGGCCATTATGCTGAAAAATCAAGCCATTCATTGCTAAATGGATTAGCATAAGATAGATATCATATTGCTAAGTAGGGGAAAGTTACATCCAGTCTTGAACTAATTAGAGGGCTGCAAGGTTACTATAGCATACAACAAAGAAATACTCCAAAAAGTGCACTGGACTGAAAACTAGAGACCTTACAGCTAGAGAACAAAAGTCACAAACCCTATACAACAGCCCTAAGGATCCCAACACAGAATCTAAGATAATAAAACATAGTTTAAGCAGATAACGTAGAACTCAAGCTCTTCAGAATGCAGTAGCATCTGTGGAAAATCGAAGCTGAAATGTGCCTGGTCCAAATAAAATTAACCCTATGTAATCAGCAGGCACAGTAATATAATTTCAGGAGGCAAAGCTTCGAATAGTTTATTTTTGATCTGGTCGGGAAATTGAAATTTGAAACACCACCTTGTTGTCTTTGAGCAAATGAAAGGAAGAGATACCACCAACTGCCAAGACTCTGCCCCAGCCTTCTTTCATTCTTACTCCCGATCCCTTGCATGTCTTACAAACATGGTACTTAGCTGGCCAACTTCCTTCATTCAAAACTGTAAGAGTGAGACATTACCTTCTTCTGTCAACTATTTTCTCCCAAACCATGAAGGTGTCCTCTGCATATAAAATTTAAACCCCAAAAAATAAAGAAAGATTAGAAAATTTTGATTAATTAAGAAAAGAAAAAAAACCTTATTCTGGTCAAGATTAGAAAATTTTGATTAATTAAGAAAAAAAAAACCTTATTCTGGTCGAACAATGTTTCAATTTGGAGATTACCAAGTAGACCACGGGGGCAGACGAGTTTCTAGCGTTAGGATAATGAAACAAGGATTATCAGCAGGAACACCATTTCTGTCTAGTGCTTTAACATTTCCATGCTGCCAATGGTTGGTTTCTCAGAAGAACCACACCTTGATGCCTTTTCTTACCAGCTTGCTTTCCTCCAACACCTTCATATTTTCTTCAGTACAAACAGCAAAAACATGAAAACAGCACACAAAGAATTATCAAATTAGATCCTAGTTTTCTTGAAACAAAGAAAAAAAGAGAAGAAGAACATGCAATATATTTAGATACCTTTAGAAGAAAAACCTAATATTACCTTTCCCTTGATTAATTACCTATCCATGCTGCTAAACTGAGCTCCATTAGCAGCTTTAGCTGAATCATTTTCCACTGACTTGCGAGGCTGAAAATCAAGAATCGAGTTGTGTTTCTTCTGAATCTGAAGAAACTTCATCAATTAAGTGAAAAGAGCTGTCATCATCTTCAGCTGAATCAGTTCCCACAGACTCAAAAACTATAAAATCACCATAGTCAATAAAGTAATAATCTGAAAATCTTTCCCGGCCATCTTGAAAGAAAACCTGACCATTAAAGCTTTGCTAATGCAACTTTCCAAGCTTCACCACTTGGAACGTTAAGAAGCACTAATTTTGACAAATCGTTTCCATGTTTTCTCTCAAACTTCTCGGGAATTGACTGTAAATAACAGAACAGGAAAGGAAAATGTTTCAGATTTTGCTCAAAACTTGAAAAAACAAAAAAGATGTAGAGAACAAGAAACACTGAAAGGATGCCACACTGAGAATTAAAAGGATACTCGCAAGCTTCTGATTCTTCATTACATCATTCATAATTATTTTTACAATGTATTGTTTCTTTGGTGTAAACAATGAGAGATTCTTGCCTGTTATACTAGAAGAAGTCATCTGCAACAGCTCATAACAAGCAACAATGGTCGCCGCTACTTTAATTGCTAATGAACGCGGCTCAAGTGAGAAGGAAGCATCAAAAGGAGCCAATAATTATAGAGTTTAATGTGTGTATGTTAGGAGTGAATCGGTTCAACCTTAATCACACCCACAGCATGTGCGCGTCTGTAGCAGGCTTGTAGAATCCCAGACCAAAAGGAGCTCTCCAATTCAATTTTTACGATGTGTAAGTGTGTACTTTGAGAGCTTTGTCAAGGTGCTTTGCAAGCCCACAGCATGTGCGCGTCTGTAGCAGGCTAGTAGAATCCCAGACCAAAAGTAGCTCTCCAATCCAATTTTTACTGTGGAGTTGTAAGTGTGTACTTTGAGAGCTCTGTCAAGGTGCTTTGTAAAAACTTTCTTTTGACTCTCAAGGATTCTCTTTGCTCTTTAATGCATACAGAGCAAGGAACCTCTTTTCTAAAGATATTCCGTGAAACTGGAGTATTTGCTAGAAGGTCCAGTCGATGAAACTCACTTAATTTGCATGAGAGTGCCTCTTTGCTCACAGCTTAATGATGCATGCTGCATACAGCTAGCTTACATTGCTTACTACAGCTTTGGATCTTTCGATAATTTAATGCATGGCAGTCGACCACAAGTAACATCGAAAATTTCAATCTTCAAAAGCTTTGGATTAAAGGATTGATTTTAAAATCCCAACCAAAATTGCAATGCCACGAATGAAGTTATAGTTAATGTGAGTTCCATTACTATTATTCCCATGTGCTTACACGATAATTCTTATATACCATCCAAGAAGATCGAACGAAGGGTTCTCAAGCTTATTTGATAATCTAAACTTAACAGTACAAACAAATGCTACCCCAAAAGTAAAATGATATTAATGTGAACGACATGTTAACCAGCATGTCTGACAATAGAGACAGCACTGGTCGCTTGAAATTGGCTCAAACAGAGACACAGCTCCCACTTCTAGACCATCAAGCCTATAACAAAACTTCGCAAGAATTTTGATAGTCGTGTACCTTTTACTGTTTTGCTTAAGATATGCAGTAATAACCACCTTTGCTATGCTGCACCAAGGAATTTAAATACTATAAAGTAAAATTTGATCGTTAACAATAACGATGATGACAAGAAACCAAAAGCTTATCACAGCAGTGGAAGCCCTTTCCTCATCTAGCATTTTGATCATGGTACTATAACTAAATATTGAATGCACATCGACAACAGCATTTATTAAATATGTTAGGAATAAAAGGAGATAGTAAAACAAGATCAAGATCAATAACTGAAGTCTTAGTTTGAATTGAGAATGCATTTCATCACTTGGATTCCCTGCTTGCAGAATGAGGGACACCAACTCACATCTTCAGCACGGAGAATAACAACATTCATTCCAAGTTCAGTTGCCTTGATCAGCTCAAACACACAGACATCACCGACTTCCAAATTATTGTCCCGTGCAAACTCCATCCAGTTATAAGAACAGGAATGTTTTTTTTCAGCTTCCAACTATAATCAACAGTCCAAAGTCTTCCATCTGAAACCAGAAGGATAACTTCACCATTATTCTCCTTGAAATGTCTATCAGTAAACTTGAATGGTATATTCTGCCATGATTAATTGAAAGAAAGTGAAAGGACATAAAGAAAGATACCGTTATTCAAATAAAAGGAGTGAGAACCAAAAATATATAATCTTGAACAGAAAGGGAGGCAACTCTCCCTTAACTTCTTTCTATATCTATCCAAATTTAAGCAAAAGAAATGAGCGCGTGCAACTTGTGCTGGTTGATGAACTGCTCGGTTTTGAAAGCATACCATATTAGCTCCACTGCAAACATATGCTGGTTGTATGGCTATGACAAAAAAGGGGTTCTCAGATTTGAAAGCATGAGCTCTGCGAACAGCCTTTTCTTTTTCAATTGCAGAAAGTGGAGCCAATCTTTTTGTCTTCAAACCGCTTCCAGCATCTTTTTTTGAATTGGTAACCATCTTGTGAGGCAAGGGTTCTTAATCTTCTTCTCTGGAGGAAGGCCGTCGTCTTCTTCACCCTTGTTCTTTGGTTCCATATTTAAGGTGTGAACTTGACGTGCCATCTTCTCCATCTCTAGGGAACTCAGGATCAATATCAATCAGCACGCTTCTTTTGGGTTTGACTTGGGTGGCTGCTTCATTTTTCAAATGGGTATAAGCATGAAAACATATCTATACATGTTCATGAAGTTTACTAGCAGATCATTGCTCACCTACAGCCAAGTGATGGCTTTCATCTTTATTTGCTCTGACAATGATTACTTTGAATGACATTTCAATGCATTTAGTCAGTTCAAAGACGCAAACATCACCAACTTCCAAATAATTGTCCAACGTAAATTTGTTCCAGCCACTGCTGATTTGTGTCTTGGCTTTCCCATTACCTGGGCAGACAAAGCACTTAACAGGCCAAGTTCTCCCATCCAAAACACAGAGGACAGCATCACCATGATCATTCTTGAAATATTTCTGAGCAAAGCTTTTTGGTATAGGCTACAGAAAGCACATTAAAGGAAAAGAACTAAAAAATGACTAATACAAAAAAAAAATTAAAACATGAAAAATGACTTTCGTGGTCTAGAAGAGTTTCAATTGAATGCTTACCAATCTACATCCAGGATAAACATATGATGGCTGCATGGCAACCATGGAAAATGGACTTTCAGGTTTTAAAGCAGCACTGGCTCTTTCAAAAGTAGCAGCTTTTTCATCAGCTGTCAATGATTGTGCCCGGTTAACCCCTTTTAACCTTTTTTTCTGGCTAGGCAAGACTCTGTTCCCTCTCGCTGCTGCAAAATTAAAACCTCCAGTTGAGAAATACCAACCATCGTAAGCTATGGACAAGCATAATACATATGAAGAGAGCACTTTATTTGCTTTCCAAGAAAATATTGTGCAAGTAGAAAATACAGACCTTCACACTGTCTCAACAGATAGCGTGAATTTACTTTCCAACGGAATTATCTTGCTTAGTTGCAACGGATTCAGCACGAATTTGCAACTTTGAAGTCCTCTCAAATTTACTAGCAAAATTGGTTCTCGTTCTCTTCTGAGGCTCAGGACATGTTGCGGAGGATTTCTCATTTGTTTTGTGGTATGAAGGGAAATCATCCAAGATTTCAACAGAGGCATCATCATCAGTTTCTTCTGTCCTAGGCTGTTGAAATTCTCCCTCAAGGTCAGGCTCCTCATCACCATCCGTCATGCTATATGAATAATCTATTTCCATGGCAGTCTTGTCTAATATAAGAACATGAAAGTGACAACTATTCTTATATTCAAAAACCAGCAAGGAACCGAGGGCTAGGGAGTAATGCTCAGCAAATTCTTTCCAGCCGTTTTGTAACCATATTTTACCATCACTCTTGAACAGTTCTACTTCCGAAACTCTACCATTACGGACCTCAAGGAGTGCCTTAATTGACAGACCTTTTTCCAAACGATCTCACAAACTTCTTGGGAATTCCCTGATAAAAGCTTAAAAAATTAAGCCCAACAACATGAAATACAGAACAAGACCATATCAAATGCAGATCCTGAATAGGAAATTACTACACCAAACCAAAATGAACGAAGGAATTAAACTCAACAAAATTCGGCTATCTTGTCGAAATCTTACTGCTTTTTAATGGTAAATTATGAAAAAAGAATTCATCAAAAAGAAAATGAGTCAAATGGACCTACATGCATGACATAAATTGCAGCATTTGCATGTCAAATGCCTAAAATTCCTTTCCTTCTCCCAGTTTGCTATACTCTTTCTCGAAAAATCAAGGCGAAAAAAAGGAACATTTACAAGCTTCCCATCAGCAATAGTTTCTTGGAGAATTATCTTGAAAAAATGGGGTTTGTCTGCATTAAACATGAAGCTTCCATTGCCTCCCTTGAATGGAGAACCCATCCTTGAGCACCTCTGATATTAACTTCAATTGCTTGCCATAGGGGGTTTATATGTTAATAAAAACAAAGCTTTTACTTCCTAAGTATCAAGAACATGGTGATTTATTGATTCTTTTTATTTTTTAAAATTTATTTTTAATATTGATACATTTAAACGACATGAAAATTTAAATAAATATTGACATAAACATGAAAAAAGACGATTCCTGTGTGTTTAGCGATGCAACGCAGGTGCATGGATAACATAAGCTTCAGCAGCGACAAACAGCCAGCACTGTGTTCCTTTCAAGAGCTCGGATTTTGTTGGAAATGATTATATATCTGTCAGATAAATTAATCAACTCCAGAACTAGAAGCCGTTGTCTTATCAATCTAATCAGGGGCATGCCGATGGCAGTTGCATGGTTACTAAATCATTAGTTACTCGAGGAATATGTTTGGTTTCTATTACAGTTGAGAACAAACCAACTAGTTACTTGTTCTTGTTTACTTTATCCTTCATGAAATCATCAAGATTTTACTCGGAACGAAAATCTATTGGTCATGGATAAAAAATATGGGAAAAGTAAGCTGTCCCGTGCTCTGATGATTAGTCCCACCTACCAATAAAATTCAACACGAAGCACCCTTGGGAGATTTTTTATTTATTTTTAGATATTTTTTTTAAAAGTATTTTTAATTAAAATAAAATATTAAATTAATATTTTATAATAACTTTAATATGTTGATATTTAAAATAAAAAAATCCAAAAAGAATATTTCATACCACAATTCTAAATACAAATTTAAAAATTATTTGAAAAATTTCCCCAAATCTCTCTCTCTAGTATACATTGCGGTCCAGAGATGCCAGAGAAAACGAGAGAGGTGAAAATAAATTTGGTTCAAGGAGGTGGGAGATATTAGCTATCATTGTTTGTATATAATGATGCAAAAGAAAGAGTACAGGCAATATTGTACTCTTCACCTCTACTTTATAATATTCACACATGAGAAGGGTTGTGGCATGACAAGGCCGGTGTTTATTAAACCCAGTGTTTCTTCTCGAAAGATATACTGGGAAAAATTGGGTTCAATATTTTCTTTCATTATTTTCCTCTCAATCCGGGAAAAAAAAATTATGAACCAAAACGAAAACTTGGAGATTTACTTGCTTTATATTTCTAATTTTAGAATCCAAACAAAGAAAGGAGCTCAGATTTCACTCTCATTTTCATTACTTACCCTCAAAACACGCAGACTCTGAAAATGCTACAATCACTCATGCACGCACAAACCCTAACAAATAGAGTGAAAGGATCCAAGAGATAGACCCTAACAAATTGAAGGGGTTAATCTGTTCAATAAGTACCATCTTCCAACCAAAAGGGTTTTTCACCCAGTGCATATGGGGCTAAAAGCCAAGTCAAGATTCTTTCGGAAGCAGTTGGGCTCAAACAAATGCAGGCTGATAGCTACAATGGCATGCAAATCACAAGCACAGTTCCCAAGCTAAGCCTTTGCAGGATATCAGAATATATCAATTCTAATCAAGGAATTACATATGTGCATTTAATTTATGAAGCAAAGAAAAGAAAAGATGACAAAGCCTTTTCATCCACAATGAACTCAACTAGGCAGAAACTAACTTCGAGAAGACACAGGGCAATGCACATCATCCATGGTCAAGACGTCAAAATCTTAGACCCAAAAATTGTCGATCAGCAGCAGAACCTTGGTTAGCAAGCTTTTGAATACGTGAAGAAAACTCTTCAGCCTGTTTAAGATTTTAAGTAGAGATCAGTGTTCTTCCAATGGAATGTAAAAAGAAACAAAAGATTAATACACAAACAAATTTATGATTCATTATATATCCCAGAGCACTGATGGCAATATCATAAAGTAGAGTTTTTCTTTTTCTTTTTTTTGGCGGTTCAAAGTTCGGACCCAATTAATTTGTGTGAAAATCTTCCTGGACACACTTGATTGTGAAACTCAAATTAATAAACATCACATTGCTTTTTAAATAAAACGGATCGGGGTAAAAGATATTAACCTTCTCATCAATCCACATTAAAGAACTTAGTTGATTGTTGAGAATTCGGACAACCATGTCCAATGGAGTCATCCCATCAATTGCATCAAGTTCACCACCCTGAACAAATCATATGGGAAAATCATCTGTTAGAGTTTATTTCAAAAAGTTCATTTACAAGTAAACTATAAAAATGAAGGCATTTACCTGGTTGGCATTAACGGTCTGAATTACTGATTTTATCTGTTCTGTCATCTGTTCCATTTCCCTCTCTATAAATTCAGCCTGCTCATACCTGAAAAATTAAACCAAAGGAAAAAAAAAAACAGATGTAGATCAAGGTGGAAGGATACCAGAAAAGTAAGTTCTTAAAGCACATTCCAGTGACCTAAATAAAATTTTAAGAAATCCAGGTTTCAAACAAGAAAAATATGGTGTCTTTAACTTTATTATATCCAACATATTTCACATTTTATTGATTTAATGATTTTTAAGTCAGGTTAATCAGCAATTAGTGAACAGGTCAGAATATGAAGGGTAGATCAGGCCTACAAAAGGCAAACCATGTGAAAGCAAAAGGAAAGCAAAGACCGAGTTCTCACATAGCATCTCTAGTCGATGCAGCTTCATCATCAAGAAGCGATCCACGCTCATCCTTGTAAATACGTTCAGCTTCTTCTTCTATACTTTGCAAAGCCTTGTCAACCTGACAATATAGAGAAATGAAGTAAATGGAACCATTCAAAAAAAGATCATGTTCAGATTTATGCTTTGCATGCTCTCGTTAGAAACACTTCTAGCAGGGTCAGACAGAAATTGACAGGACCAACCCAGGACTAAGCACACATTTATGCAAGGCCCAAATTTCCACAATACACAAATAAAGGAATTTTCCAGCCTTTATAGACAGACCTGAATATTCAATCTTTTCCAAAGTCTTTTTTGGTGCACTTACGGTTCCAGTATGAATCTCTTCAAAAGGGCTTGGTTCAAAGACAGGTAATGCTCATACATATGAAGCATAAGTGACTGGTTGACAAGTTAGGTTGGCTTCCAGATAGACTAGTGAACAGAGAGATGCATCATATTTCAATTAACCTGTTGGGAAGAAAGTCTACTATGGATGGACAAGTTTGGATTTCACATATATAGAAGGGTTTTGATGTGAATTAGAGCGGTTGACTTAAGCCAAATCCAAGTAGGGATGGGAACGGTGAACACAGCTGTCAACCATTTTCCAGCAAATATCATTAAATATGGCTCAAGTAGTTTTAATGCATTTAGATTGATCATCAAAATCAACAGCCACGCACATAATGTAAAAAAAGCTTAAATTATGTTGTAATTGATTAAAGATGCTAAACTTGCAGCTAGTCAAACACCATACGTTATGCCTCATAAATGCTTGATTACAGCATGTAACAATTTAAACAAAGGCCAAGAGACACCCCAGCAGAATGTTTTCGTCTGGTATTGGTAGTGCTTCAGAGGATGATAGTGGCTGGCTCACTATAGAATTTTTGAATTTCATGCACAGCAAGCTAATGTCTTTCAGAGGATTGAACAATAATTAGCCAGATGTTCATTGTAGTTATTGGCCACCAGCAAATGCGCACAGAAAAGACACCAACAGCTAAGTGAAAAGGCATAATTAGGGGATTTATCTACCGCCAAATATTTGATGAAAGAGATGGCCAAATATGGTAAATCTACCATCATCAAGGTAAGTGCTTGCTCATCAACAGCAATCATTTGATGTCTATCACACCATAATTGAAAGAGAAGCCAAAAGGGGATTTTCCCTCATATTGCGAAAGCATAGAAATTCTTCATGCACAAACCAGAAGGCGAAAAAATATAATTATCAAATAACAAAACATAAGGAGAGTAGTGACAGGAAAAAACAGGAAATGAAGAGCTTAATAAAATACTAAAATACCTCCTGTTGATGAGTCTCAATTAACTCCAACTTTCGCTCCAAATTAGCTTGGGTCTCAACCACTTTTGCCACTTCAATCTGAACAAAAAATTATAACTCGGTTTTCATAAATCAGAAACATAACTCAGTTTAAAACAGTTAATTCAAATGTAAGGAATGATAATAGTTATTCTTGTATCAAAACAAATAAGATGGTATGACTTTGTCACTTGATAACATCCACAAGGCACATGAGGATACTAAAATTATGTTATCTCATTGAAAAATAGGATTTCTTTTGCAAAGAAATTATAATTACATTTACCTCAAGCCGAAGAAGAACATCACGATTTTGCAAGATCCTTTTATCCCACTCAGCTATGGCAGTAGCTTGCTTCCGAAATTTCCCAGTACGCTCTTGCAGCTCAGCATTCCACTCTTTGATGATCTTCAAAGAAAATAAATTACATGCATGTTTAGAACAAATTAACAAAGTAACAGAGAACAAAAGGGCCTAAAATGTAAATAGGCCCAATAACAGTACTAAGATTACAAGATAGTTGGGGAGTGGTGGGTTAAACGTAGCAACATTAGATCCTAGAGGCATAAAATTCACATTCATATATCTCTCTTCCTTTCATTAAAATACAGAATATGAGAAAAGAAATTCATGAATAAACATGAAACTGGTAAGCAAACTTGTCATATCAATCCTAAATGGAATTTTCCTATTTTTGTGGTGGATAAATATTGTCTTTTTCTGCTCTTTCATTCTCCTCTTGCCAGAGGACAGCTAGTGATATATATTTGTCATTGTAAAATAAGGTAGATCATAAAAACTACATCACAGGATAATAACTCTCCAGTACATGTGCACAGAGAGATATATAACACATTTGTATCACCCAAGGGACTAAGGTGCAGCGAGAAGAATAGATGAAACATGAAGTACCTCCTCAACAGTCTTCCCTGTAATCTCAGACGGCAATTTTGGTGTAGCAGTTAAGGCAGTGCTAACACTTGAACTTGTCCTGTAGGATAAGGGGAAGCATGAGAGAACAAATCAATTAATCAAAACATGTTAAATACCTTAGAGAAACTTCATTTTTTTCAATATATTTCAATTATAGAGTTAAAAAGGAAACCAATTGCAGAACTTGAGAAACAGAATGTAATATACAAATCAAAATCTGGAAAATAAAGTGTCTAGCTAAAATTCTTACAGACAAAGATGACAGAAATTATATTTTTTACTTTTAGTAACTATCAACATAAACAATGATAGGTGTTTTAGATACTAGAAAAATGTTGGAGAAAAAAAAATTGCCACCAAGACTAAGCATACAGACCCACTAGTGGAAGCCACACCAAGCGATGATGTCTGAGCAGTAGTGCTGGAAGTTGTTGTAGGTGCAGCAGTTGAAGCAGGGACACCTGAAAATGAATTCCGTGAGAACCTAATGGCGAATAACCACTACTTGACTAATTGAAGTTCAACGAGGAAGTCATATTTAACTAGTGGGAGAATAAATCTAGAACATACATGTATAAAACCCCCAAGAATAAAGATTCCCCTGAAAATAAGATGGGAAAAGGAAAGTTTTCTAAGGTTCAAGGGTTGTTTGATGTCCGTTTTGCTAGCATGAAAACAAAGAATGTGATTCAATTTTTTCTGTAGCAACCAAATGTGACAGGAACATCACCTACTTCATTTTGCAATCCAGCATATATACAACTTATCTAACAGAACGCATAAGCAAACAGAAGGGCACATGCATATCAATTCAATTTAAGAAACACCATTACCATCTACTTTCTCCCAAATTCCAATAATAAACAAAAATAGAAAGAATAAATAAAATTAACACACTCACTGAGTAGAGGCGCAGAACTACTAGCCGGTTGAGTTTGTGATTTTGAAGTAGGCGCCGGTGATATATTGGACAATGAAAATCCAGTAAACGAGCTAGCAGTAGTCCCTGAAGACGCAGCCACACTAGTTGTAGCAGAAGGAAAACCTGAAAAAGAAAACCCCGCAGAGCCAGAAGAAGCCGCAGCAGCACCTGTCCCAGCTGTAGTTCCTGAAGTCATACCAAATGCAGGCAAACTCAACCCCGAAGTAGTACTGCTAGTACTAGTAGAAGTAACTTCAGTAGCACCACTAGCTGGAGTTGAAGCAGTCGTAGTAGTAACTGTAGAAAACAACGGCGATACAGTTGTGGATTTCACCGATGACGAAGAGGCTGCGTTGCCAAATAATGAAGGTTGTGAAGGCGCTGATGGCTGCGTCCCAAACGAGAAAGAAGTTGTCGTTGAAGGAGCTGGCATGGATGCGATAGCAGCAGTACTAGCAGGAGTCGGTGCTGAAGCTGTAGTGGTTTTGGGGAAAGAAAATCCGGTAGACGAGAAAGAAGTTGTCGTTGAAGGAGCTGGCGTGGATGCGATAGCAGCAGTACTAGCAGTAGTCGTTGCTGAAGCTGTAGTGGTTTTTGGGAAAGAAAATCCGGTAGACGAGAAAGAAGTTGTCGTTGAAGGAGCTGGCGTGGATGCGATAGCAGCAGTACTAGCAGTAGTCGGTGCTGAAGCTGTAGTGGTTTTTGGGAAAGAAAATCCGGTAGAGAAGCTTGGAGCAGAGCTTGCATTAGAGAAAGAAGATGAAGAACCATACAAATTAGTAGTGGTGCTGCTGGTTGAAGCAGTAGATGATGATGATGATGATGATCCAAACAGAGACGGCGCAGAACTTGTGGTGGACAGAGAGTTGCCAAACAAGGATGAACCTGTACTTGATGCGGATGAAGGTGTGCCGAATGAGGATGGAGTAGAAGAGGCACCCGTTCCAAACTGAGGAGAAGCGGAAGTAGCTGTGGAGGAAGTGGATCCAAACAAGGGAGCGGGTGAACGTGTGCCAAACAGAGGCGAAGCCGAAGTAGTTGTGGAGGAAGTTGATCCAGAGAAGGGAGAGGGTGAACTTGTGCCAAACAGAGGCGAAGCAGAAGTAGTTGTGGAGGAAGTTGAGCCAAACAAGGGCGAGGGTGAGCTTGTGCCAAACAGCGGCGTAGCGGAAGTTGTGGAGGAGGAGGTTGAGCCAAACAAGACTGAGGATGAAGTTGTTCCGAACAAGGATGAGCCTGTACTTGTTCCAAACAGAGGCGAAGGAGCGGGTGCTGATGATGATGAAGTAGTTGTGCCAAAGGAGGAACTTGAGTTTGCCGTAGAAGAAGAAGCGGAGCCAAACAAGGGATTAGGGGAAATGGAGGAGGCAGAGAGAGAGCCAAACAGGGATGGAGTTGTACTTGTGGAGGATGAGGCTGTTGCAAAGGAGAATGGGGAAGAAGTTGAAGCTGATGAGCCAGACAGGGTGGAAGAGGGAGTGGAGGTGAAGGTATTAGAGGAGGAAAGGGACAAGGAAGGGGCGGAAGAGGTGTTGGAGCCGAAGGAGGGGGCTGTGGTGGTGGTGGAGGGGGCGG